CATTTTGTGTTGATGAGTTAAGTTCAGCAAAGTAACTGTCCATTAATGGTATGAACATTGATTGATGGGTTTGTCTTTGGTTTCATTTTTTCTTTATTTTTACTTCAACTTAGGCGACACTATTTTTCGGACATGACACAAATTCCGGGTTTTTTAATGATTTAGTCGTCAAAGGTCTACAATATGCAAATTTTCTGCAGGTAAATTGTACCCTGACCATTACATTTGAGTATCTTTACCATTCACTGCGAAAATGTATTAAAATCCTGAAGAAGAATGCATTCAAAAGAAGTCATCATTTTGGTCCAAAAGAAGAGAGAAGACGGGCTCAGCATCCGAAAGATCTCCGCTGAGATGAAGCTAGCGAAGTCAACAGTTGAATACATGCTAAGTACTGACTATGATCGGAAGAAGAAGAAGAGAGGATGGAAAAAAAACAATTTCCAAGAGAACAGAAAGAAGAATGAAGAGGAGTGTTACGAGGTTGTTATCATCTGGAGAAAAGGTGACAGCGAAGAAAGTAAAGGAGAAGTGTGACCTTGACGTCAGTGTTCGAACTGTACAAAGAAAGCTACACGAAATTGGACTTAAGTATGCTAAAATCAAGAAAACAATTACACTAACGAGAAGACAGAAGGAAACAAGGCTGGAAGCGCCAAAAGATGGATAACAAACCATGTCGACTTCAAGAAAGTTTATTTATTTAATGAAAAAAAATTTTAAGTTCGATGGACCTGACGGGTGGTGTACATGGTCGAGAAAAGGTAAACCTGTTATTCTCAACAAGAGACAAATGAGAGGAGGAGTCATGGTTTGGGGTATGGTATTTCCGAATGGAAACTTGTGGCTTGAGTGGTTAAAAGGACGTCAAAATAGCTTGAGCTACAGAGAACTTTTTGGAAAAGAGAGCCCTACCATTCATAGAAAAAGAAATAGGAATTTTTTTTTTTATTTTTGCAGCAAGATAACTGCAGCATCCATGTGGCCAAATCAGTGAAAAAATTGGATGTGTGAAGCAAAATATAATTACTCTGGAATGGCCTGCAAGAAGTCCAGATTTAAATTTAATTGAAAACATATGGGAACATTTTGCAGAGCTTGTTTTAGACGGGCCAGAAATAACCAGAGAGGCTGAACTGTGGCAGCGCATACAAGATGCTAAAAATAGACCGCTAGAAACACCAAGAGACGATATTATCAATATGTACGAACATTATGAAGATAGACTGATAGAAGTCATTGAAAGAAAGGGTGCTGCCATATACTATTAGTATTGTTTCTGCAAAGTCCGAAAAATACTGTCGCCTGTGTAATGTGAAAATTTGTAAAAAAAATAAAAATACTTTAATTTGAATTCTGCTTTTCCATTTGTAGTATTGAAACATTTTTTTTTAAACGTTATTGCCATTACACTAAAACAGTACAGACTACCTGTGCTACCTAAAACTTGAAAAATAAATTGTCTGAAAAATAGTGTCTTTAAATATATATATATATATATATATATATATATATATATATATATATAAAAAATCTGTTCATAATTACCTATCCTAGTTTTGTTAGTATCTAATCTCTGTCCGTTCGGATATTTTTGCCTCTTGTAAAATAACGCTGAAAAACCGGTTAACGTTCGATCATTTGTTATAAACGTGCCTGTCCAGATTGGAAATATCTTGGAAACACTGTCTCCTATAATCCGAAATATATATTCGGCTTTAAATAACTCACGAAGGTTTGATCAGCCTTAAATTTTAAATCAATCACCAATTCTATTTACTAATTCTTTTCAGGGAGTTTTTCTTTTCGGGTTCAACCACGAAGTCGTTAAAAAAAAAAAGTTCTACCAACAGGAGATTAAATTGACGACGACATTTTTCGTGTCCACAACAAGTGAGTATTTTTCCGTATAATCTCAATATTATTGGTCATACGTGACTTGGAGCGTTAACGTAGAAGGAACTCCACTCTCGGATGGATAAACTATCGGAACCTCAGAGGAGAATTAATACTAAAACTCCGCTTACTAAATAGCTATAAAAAAAAGGCGGGAAAGGGATTTTTTTTATAAAACCAGATTTTAACGCATGCTTCAGTGTAACTGAAAATTTTCGTATTTTTTTTTTAATATTTTCATTTGTAACATCTTGATTTTTTTTAATCATTTCATTCCAAACAATGCAATAATGTCATTAATACACAAGGGGTTACTCGCATTGAAGGTGCATAATGATTTATACGTAATATTTATAATACATGTATGTTTAAAGAGAATTATTAAAATTAAAATTATTTACTGATATGTGGATTTGCGTAAAAAAAATCGTTTTACATTAAGCGGTTTCGTTTCCTACTTTTCAAAAAGTTTGTAAATGTTTATTAGATTATCACGTGCTGGCACTTAAGCTCGGAATAAAAGAAAAATATCAAGGTGCGAAAATTACAAGTCATATACAGACTTTATTTCACTTTTTACATCACACATCACACAGATTTTCGACACACTGTTTCATGCTAGATGCCTTGATTGCATCTTAGCATATAAATATAAATGTCGCCCCTAAATGTTAATTACTATGTTAGTTTTTATATATATATATATATTGCTGGTTTTTAAGTAGTTTGCTGATGTAGAAAGAAAATTTAAGGCAAGCACCTTTCCATTTGTAGAACAACCCAATATTGAATATGGTGATATTGCGTTAAAATTTGAAAAGGATTTTCAGATCTATTATCTTATATTATCTATCTCACATTATTCATTTATATCTATATATCTATCTATCTATCATCATTATTATTATCTATATATATCGGATCATATATATATATATATCTATATATTATTTATGTTCTATCTATTTAATATCATATCGTAATCTATCTGTAAAATCATATTGAAACATATCATCTATCTATCGATCTATTCTATCTAGGAAGGATTATCTATCTATCTCAGTCTGTTCATTGTCCATCCATCTATCTGGATAAACGTGTAAAGGATTATTCTTCACCGCCGTAAAAACACTCTCTCTTTTTTCTCTTTTTATCTAAACACACACACAGGGAAACACACACACACACACACACACACATCAAATATATATATATATATATATATATATATATATATATATATATTTTTGGTATTTAAGTAGTTTGCTGATAATTTTCTTTTTGTTTTCATTACAGGTTTTTTATTTAGAAAAATAAATTATTGAATTGATGATTTATTTAAAAGAATGAAATACTTTTTTTTTTATTTATCTAAATTTAATTTATTGAAATTTATTAATATATCTATCTATAATATTCATAATTTTCACTATCTATCTTTCTACACATTTATCTATCTATTTATTTATCTATCTCATCATTTTCATTATTCTAAAATCTATCATCTATCTATCCATGGACATGGTATCTATGTTTATCTGATCATTTTATCATATTTATTATCTATTATCTATCTATCAAATGATTTATTCTATGAATCTCATCATTTCTATTATTATCTATCTATCATATTATCTATCTATATATTATCTATCTATCTCGAAATTTTAATTATTATTGATCAATTTAATATCTATCATCTATTTATCTATTTCAAATTTTATTATTATGGTTTCATTTATCATCTAAATCTATATCATTTTCAATATCTATATCTATTATCTATCTATTATATCAATCTATCTATCTCAGTTTTTCATTGTCCATCCAATATTTGCCTCTGTATCGGATTAACCTTCACAGTTGTTCTACCATCTCTCTCTTATTTTTCTCTCTCTCACACACACACACACACACACACACACACACACACAAGAACACACACACATATATATATATATATATATATATATATATATATATATATATATTATTTACATTTTCCAGACATAGGCTCTATCACTGATAAACACTTCAATCCATAAATATAGCATACCTAAAAGCTATATATTACCCCATATATATATATATATATATATATATATATATATATATATATATATATATATATATATATTGAATAAACAAATATATGTTTCGGGCAAAACGCAATCGTCATATAAACAGACTCGCGTTCGGTTTAATTTTTAATATCCACAATTTATATATGGTCTATCCCTGATATTAACCACTTCAACTTTATCCCTTAAATAGACATAAATATAGCTTATTTTCTATATATATATATATATATATATATATATATATATATATATTGAATATTAAACATCACCATATAAATTAACCAATAAGGATTACAAATTTCTACCTGTTACATATACAGTCACCAAAAACAAACAAATAACCAGCTTTAAATATAACAAATAAACCCCCTTTTTTTTTCAAAAATTTAAAAATAAATATAAATAATAATAATTTTTATCTATCATAATTTTACACAAACCCCACCACACGTATATACATACATGCGAGGAAATATTTTTCAGCGGAAAATACATAATATGACATGTATGCATTCACGAGACATTCACGAGACATTTCCGCCACACTTCCAATGTTTAAATTTCAACATTTCAACATAAAAATGCGTATGTATAGACATAACAGCACCCGTATACATACATATGCCATAGCCGAAACTGCCCACATATGTTTATATATGTATGAGTCCCGACCGACGACCAAGTATGTATATGTGTCTGCATACATCGATGTTTGCGTTAGTACGATGAATGACAAAACGACGAAATTTCCCCCACCACTTCCACAACAACATCAATACACGCAATCTACATAAACCCAATTTTTTAAAAACATTAATCAGTTTGTCTGACGATCGCTAAAGCGTGAAACCCAGGGTCACAAACTCACATCTATTCAACCAAATATATATATATATATCTGATATATATATATATATATATATATATATATATAATATATAAAGAGTTACATATATATATATTTATTTATATTTATATATATTTTCAAAACACAAACACATACACATTTACACATACATATAAGTTTATTCAACATACATTAATTGAAATAATTAAACGTATTAGCGACATCCATAATTTAGAAAACATAATATATATGCATTAAAATCCTGTTCATCCAAAGTGCGAGTTTTGATTCTTGAAGAAAAAACTTGTTGTCTAAATTTTTTCAGTTTATTTGATGTTTTTAAAGCGATGGATTTCGCCAATAATCGCATTAATTCTGATTTATTATGTGATTATCCTTTTTATGTAAATCATATGAAGTTATTAATGTTTTATGTTTATTAAAAACTATCGATCCGCAGTACAAAAAAAAATTTTATAAAAAAAACTACTACGAAGACATTACACTATATTATTGAACTATATACTTAGTTCATGACATAAAAACTAATACACTAATTAAAATAGAATATGTGGATTTAACACATCACAAGAAATATTTAAATAAAATTTCAATTTAAAAAATTTTGAAAATTTAGCGTTGCGTCTTTGCGCGTTCCACGATCTTACACACCCGTCAACAATAGCAGATATTCAAAAAACATCTTTCGGTCGACATACAGATATATCGTCTCAAGTTTTTTGATTTTATAAGAAAAAAACACATGCCTGATGATGGATGAAGACCATCTGTAAGTACTAGCATTTTAACATCAAATAAACTGAAAAACTACAGACAAGTTTTTCTTCAAGGATCAAAACTCGCACTCTGGATGAACAGGATTTTAATGCATATATTATGTTTTCTAGCGATGGATGTCGCCAATAATCGCATTAATACTTTGATTAATTCTATGTGTGATTATTTATATATATATATATATATATATATATATATATATATATATATATATATATATATGTATGTATATTAAAGGAAAACCAAAGCAGTTTTTGGAATCAAAAGCCCTAAATACTCAGAAACAAGATAAAACATCGAAAAGGAACAGCAATAAGAAAAAAGAGAATGTCCTAATGGCGAACACCTATATAAGTAATAAAATTGCTTCATTGCCTAGATAAACTAGACAGAGCAAGAAAAGCTTGACGACATTAATTTCAATTTATAGTATTACCCCTGTCGTTACTCGCGTTTCACGCTCCACCGATCTTTAGATGATTGCACGGAAATGAAAGAACGGTAAGGTGTGGCAATTTAAATCCTGGAATAGACACAGCGTATCTATTCCAGGACTGAGCCACGATGAGCTGCTTTCGCTGGTTCCCAGACTCCATGAATTCAAGCGTCCTACGAGGCTGGCAGTCCGCTCTCACTCTTTCACTGTTGAAACTGTTAAATGTAAATGTCTCTTCTATTCCAATAGCTTATCAATCTATTACATCTCACCTGTGGAACTCCTAAATTTTCCTGTTTCTATAATTTTCCAATTTTTCAAATGTAATGTCAATCGACATCTCCAGTTGCCTTGATCTATCCACTATCCTTTCCCCATCCTAAATAATATCATTTAAAAAATCTGCTCTTTATCCAAATCCTTATAACCCCTTGCGTGCTATTTTTTTGCCTGAATTGGGGGTGAAATGCTAAAAAAAAATTCTATCCGAGCAAATCAATATAAAGCACGTGTCAACGTTGCTTTACTGAAACGTAGAACAGATGAGTCATTATTTGTCGATTTTTAATTAAAAGTTTTACGTATCTCAAGTTATAATGTTACTAAAATTAGGGAAAATGATCTGAAAGAGCTGATTAAATATCACTTTTATCTCTAAACTGTGCTAAATGTGACCCGGTAGCACAGTTGGATTATAGTAAAGATGGTACGAATAAATCAGTAATTTTTTGACACAGGCGCTTCAAAGAGAGGCGAGATTTTGCGCATGATGTCCCAAGAAGTGTGATGTCAAAAACACAAAGAACAGATACAAAAATCACTGGATATGGGGAATGAAATACTGCATGGAAGGCAGAAATGATAAGCCTTTCTTGAGATATGATGTCTCTAATCTTGTCCTTTTATCTGATTCTTTAGAAAATAATATATATAAATATATATATATATATATATATATATATATATATATATATATATATATTTAAATTGCATCATTACCTAAGAAGATTCGTTGCCATACGCTGATTTAAATTGTCCAATCATATATATATATATATATATATATATATATATATATATATATATATATATATATATATATATATATATATATATAGCTACAGAAATGAACACTGCGTTATAAACGACAGTTTCACGCCTCGAGTCATGGCCTAATGTTCACTTGAAGCATGAAAGTGAGAGGCGACATCTGGTGTACATTCTAAAGTCCATATTGATTATATCTACGAGAAACCTATCTTCAGGAATTGTGCATTTTGCTCTTCATAGATATTGCAAATTTTAGAATACAGGGTGTCCAAAAAAATGATTTCGCAGGCCAATAATTTTGGTAATTCTTGTTGGAGTAACCTCAAATTTTCACCGAATGTACAGAAATAGATCAAGATTTTATATTTAATGTGTCATTTTTGTTCTGTTTTCAGGTTGAGCCATGCCGTCCATTCCCAAAGAGAAGTCATTCTGCGTCTTGGAATATTCCAAGAGTTTGCAGCTTGCCAACTGGCAAACAAATTTGGACTTGGTACCAAAAATTTAAAGAGGAAGGCTGTTTATGCAGGGCTAAAGGATCTTTTAGAACATCATCAACATCAACGTGTTTGGCAAGAGCTTGACATGTGCCGTGTCACAGGCGGTACACATTTTGAACACTTATGAAATAGGTCTCAAAATAAACTTATGATTTTCAACACCTAAACTGTTTAATTTCATTGACATAGACTTAGTAGTTTTCAAGATAATTGCTTTTAAAATTTTTGGTGGGACACACTGTCTATACTGGGTGTAACTCAAAATTGGCCAAATCGTGTAACAGTATGGAATATTAATCCACCGACAAAATGATTAATACTTAAAAAAAAAACACTAAACTAATTGATTTTCTTTTTCCCAAGTTTTCAGATAGGACGTTTAGCCATCTTGACACCATTTGTCGAAAGGATGACTGAAAAATCTTTTGAGTTATTCAGCTAGAAAGAGAACAGGCTAAAATCGTTTTGTGTCAGCCCCACTATAACTTCCCAAATTAGCAATGATGACAGGAAAAAGATCATACAGGCCTTCAGTAATGGCATAAACTTTGGCTTCCATCTTCAAAGTACATTGAATCAGGAGAAAGTTGGATAACTTTCAAAAAGAGGGGGAAGTAGAGAAGAAAATGCATCGAGTAGGCACAACAGCAAGTGGCGTCATTATGTCAAGTTTAGAGCTAAATACATTGTTATTGTTAAAAGTAGAGTTCAATAATTTTATTAAAAAAAAATTTAAAAACTCGGAGAATTTAAAAAGATATCTTTAATCATTTCTAAGATACAGCGGTTCAAATTTTTAATCGAGCAATTTGGTGTAACGATTTGGACAATTTTACACAATTGCACCATATATATATATATATATATATATATATATATATATATATATATATATATTGAACATCAAAAAAAAATAAAAAAATTAAAATCTTTAGACTTTGGATTGTAGATTAATATTCTTTCGTTTTTTGGTTTTTTTATTATTATTCCATTTAGATTCCTCGATTAGTTTCATGACCAAAATGGCCATCATCAAGAGGAGAAATATTTCGCTTGAAATTTTATATAAATATATATATATATATATATATATATA